AGCGGCATTTTGGGCTGGACTCCATTGTTCTGCCGAGAATCTTTTGCCCCAAAGACCACATCGAGGCTGTGCACGGCGCCAAAGAGCATCTGGCGCAGGTGTTTTGAACCTGCGCTAAAAGCCGTGCTGGCGCTGCGAGCTTTAGCGGTGAACTTGTCTAAATCAGCCGCTGCAGGAGTGAAAGCCACTCAACCATAGCTTGCTTTACTCGCTGCCAGGGCGAGCTGCATGCAACTTTGTCTGGTAATCTGTGGGGAGAAAACGGATTTTGGCACAGAGTTGCCCCGCTTCCTCCAAGCGATGCTGCTCTTTGGGATGGATTGGCCGGGGCATCCCTGTAGTACAGGAACCCAAGACACATGCTGAGGGAGTGATGGCAGATTGAAGGTCTGGCCGGTGCTCGAGCTGTTGCTCAAAGTGTGTTGTATGTGAGCTGAGTTTTGGCGATGTTTTCTTTCAAGCCAATTGCCGTGCTGAATTGGTGCCATGTGTCCAAAGTGTGGAGCAGTAACCGAGGGGTGTTGCTACACCAAGTGCGGTCGTCCATGTAGACCACATGTAGTCTTTCACCAGCAGCGCAAGGGCTTTCGCGCTCCACAAACCGCTGGCCAGCCCACATCAGGATGTTGAGGGCAAGTGGAGACATAGGGTCACCCTGAGGAATGGCAATGGATGTGCGTAAAGGGTGTTGGTAGCAGCTCTGTCTCCATTGGAGGATCCGCTTTTGGTTGGACCATTGTGCTTGAAGGACGTTTGCCAGACCGTGTGGGAGCCCGACCTGTTTCATAGCAGTGGCGATAGCTTCGGGCAGCACATAATCGAAGGCCAACGAGTAATCCAAGCTGGCAAGGTAGCCTTTTGAACAGAGGGCGTCAGCAAGTTGAGAAGCCAATTCTTCTGTTCCAGCGCTGCCTGGGCCACCGACAATGCTAGGAGGGAGCGTCTGGGTACGCCAGGAAGTGACCAAGTACTGCTCCACCACCGATAGAACAAGCTGTAGACATTGATCGGACGAAGGTCCTTAGGGGCTGTAGTCCCGTTGTGAACCTTGGCTGGTTTGATCAGGTTGATCTGGCGACTGAACTGCAAAGAGGTGGGGATTCGGCCCGCCTGTTCCCAAATGTGGCTGATGTTGCAAAACCACTCGTCGACTGGTGCCGGTAACCATTGCAGCTCTTCTGCAATCCAGCCATCAGGGCCAGCTGCTCCTTTCAGGCGTTTGCGAGCCTGGGCAAATTCGTCCGGAGATGGACGGTCTTGGAGACTGGGATGGCTGGGTAGATTATTATTGATGGTGTTGTTGGTTTTTTGGACTGCCGGTGTGGCATGTGCTGCTTGCCAGAGTTCTGTCCAGTGCGTATGTATTGCCCGGAGGACTGCTTGATCTGTCTGCAGGGTGTGGCCATCGTGTTCAATGGCTGGGCATTGCAAGAAGGTGCTGCGGTGCAACCACTTGGATCTACTATGCTCGTCGTACTGCACACTGCTGGAGCTTTGCTTGCTTTTGTTGTTCCGCTTCCTGTGCAAGTGTCTGCTGCAAATTGGTTGCTGCTTGGAGGGCTGGACGAAGGTCACTGGTGTTGGTCGAAGTAAAGGCTGGGAAGTGGAGCTTGTGGCAAAGATGGTCTGCTTCGGCTTGTTGTTGTGTATTGCGGGCTGGGAGGTCCAGAAGCTCAAGGAGCCGAGAGGCTCTGGCAAGGTAGTTGCTCTGCTTTCGCAAGAACATGGTAGCTGGTGTGCGCTGTGGGCGGGCAGATACCCAATGCACATGGGGCTGTAATGGCTTGGGGGTGGCTGTGGTCGCCACCTGTTGCCACCGCTGAAGTGTTGGTTGGAGACTGTTGCAGGAAGGTGAGGGCATGGTGCTGGCTGCCGATTGGAACAACCGATGCAACGTCGAATTGAAGCAATCCCAAAATGCATCAATGTGGTCCTGTTGCAGGGACAGGCTGGCTGTGCGGATGGCTGACGCGAGAGGAGTAAGGTCAAGAGCGTCCCAAGTGGATGTTAGGTGTGCCATCCAAGAAGAATTGGTGTGCCCCGGAGGGGGAGTCCAACGATGTGCTTTGTGAAGTGTGCAGCGTGAGATCTCATTCTGCCATTTGACAGGAATGGTCGTTGTCAGGCATTTGCGGTCGCTGATTTTATATTCAGGACTACTCACCTTTGTGCAGCCGGTAGGATGGTTGGACCAAATGTGATCGATGAATCTATGGTTCTGCCATCGTGTTTGCTTGTTTACCAACTGGCCGCCAAACAGTTGGAACAGAGGAGCAATCTCAGCTGGAGTGGCGTTGTAGTCACCGGCTGCAAGCCAAGGACGATTGCCAGCAGCTGCTTGCGTGGTCTGCAGTAGATCCTGCAGAGCAGCAAGAGCCGGCTCTAAAATGAGGGCCCGAGGAGGGATGTAGCTCGCCGCCACAACCCAGTGGCCGCATTGCAAGAAGAGGTGTTGAAAGTCATCCTGCTCGTGCTTTGCCAAAAGTTTTTGACTCATAGATTTGCGAGCAGCAACAAGGACGCCGCCAGTGGCTTTGGCCCCGTTGCGACCCAGGCTGTAATAGGAATGGAAGTTTAAGTGTGCCAATTTTGCTTGAACTGTGCTGAACTCAGAGGGTCGGAGGCAAACTTCCTGGAGGCAGATGATGTCGGCAAGCTGGTGGTCAGCCTGCAACAGAGCGAGGAAGCGCCACAGCCCGGGAGCATCCCGGAAGTTGACGGAGAGAAGCCTGGCTGTGGATCGAAGCTGATTCTTTGGATGAAGAGGAAACGGGTCTGGATCGTCATCCTCACCTTCGCCAGCTTCGTCGGTGCCAGCGGCATGGGAGCCGGCGTCAGATTCAGGAGCAGGGCCCGGTTGAGGCTCGACTCCCTGCTGCACAAGCTGGTCAAATCGCAGATCGGCTTCGGCCTTGCTGAGCTTCCAAATTTGGAGTAGCATGTTCATGTTGGAGGCATGGCGGCAAATGCCTTTCCACCGAGTTCGTGCTGCCGTGCTAGAAGGAGCCTGGGATCCACGGCATGGTGTGGATTTCCAAGAAGTCTCTCTATACTTGGCGATGCGGAGGCATGATGTGCAGGTAAATAGTCCCTTTCCGATGTTTGCCCTTTTTGCCGAGCCAGGGCCAGTGCTGCCAAAAGGGAGTGAATTGCACCAATTTGTGGTTTCCGATAGTCGTGTCTCGTTGCTGTTTTGCCTGTTGCTTGCGGCTGCTGTTGGAGTATCCAGCGGCAATGTTGGGCTGTTTGCCCGGTGTTTGGCGTACTGTCGTCGGCGGTATGATTGGATAGCCCCGTTGGAAGTGTCTCTTTTCGGGTGTTTGGTATCATAATGATGCCGGACATTTTTGTTCTTTTGATGGTAGTTCCGGAAGGCCGGGAGACTGCATGACAAAAGGGGCAGGTCCAGTCTCGTTGGTCCTCAGGTAAGTCATGGCTGGCTTCGATGATTGGTGTGCGATTAATGCGAGTGGCTCGCTCGTTCATTGGGAGGTCACGATGGCGAAACATCATGTGGGAAGTCCTCTTGGAGGATATGTTTTTGCTGCTCGTACCAGTCAAGAGAACGGAACAGTGTGGGCAGGTCCATTTCCAGGATGAGTCCGTGACCACTGCCGGTTGGTGCAGCTTGCTGCGAACAGTCGGATGGGCAGGTCGAGTAATGTCTGGAGTGGAGATGCCTTTTGCTTTTTTTTGAGGTGGTTGCACAGGAGTAGAATCCGGTATGTTCAACCTTGGACGCTTCTGCGAGCTGGCTTGTGGTGTGTTGGATGGAAACCATTGAGGAGTGCTCAATTTGCTCAGCCGGTGTGCGGATGCTTTGCTGCTGGATGCTTTGCTGTTGGTGGGTGACGCCGTGCTCGAACCGACATGGGTCCCCGACCCACCAGGGGTAGCGAGCAGGGGGTCCCCGCGCGCACGGGTATGCCGGGGTGTGCGGCTGCGGCTGTTTGTACTGCTGCTGCGGGCTGGTGTCTCGAAGTAGTGTTGCTTTTTAGAACTAGAGCTGGTTGCTCTTGGCATGTGAGTAGGAAATGGGTTTGGGCTTTTGGAAGGAGTGCTGGGAGGCATCCACGCAGAATCGTCCATTGGAGATTTGTCGATACCAGGTGTATCATGTCTGGAGGAAGGCTTCGAGGCGACCCCAGCACGGGGTATTTGAGAGAGAGTGTCGACATTGGTGATCCATTCCTGGGGCCAAGAGCGGGCCTGGTTTGGAATGACGGCTTGGTAGTGTTGGTCTTTCAGATAGAGGACCAAAACTTTCATCATCTTCGTCATCATCATCCTCGTCGTCATCAACATCGTCGTCGTCATCATCATCGTCGTCATCATCATGACAACAGAATCATCAAGGTTGTTATATAACCCCGCACCACAAAACGCGTACAGACACAACTGCACCGTTGTGATGCGGACGTATCTATTTATATACTATTATACAGGATGATACAGGTGTGTTTGAGGGTGTATATAAAGCTACGCCGATACAAGTGTAGAAATTCAGGTTCATGCGTGTCAGTGAGATGAGAATGGCTGGAGAATCCTCGAGACGTCGGCGACCCTCCACAGGAATCATGCATGTCGGATGCACGAAACTGCAATGGGACACAGCAGGCGGCCCCTCTACAGGGATCGCACGTGTCCGATGTGCGAAGCTGCAGTTGAGACGCAATTTTTTTTCATTTACAGGTCAACATCCAATCCTGACCTTACCTTACGAGCAGATCCGGCTGACGACGTTTCAGCAGGCCTGATGCAATGGCCTTTCACAGACATGGACAAGTTGTTGAAGACATGTCGGAGATGCCCCAGAGATGAATTCATGCCATGCCAATGCCAAGAAACTTATCAGAGGTTGTAAGAAGAGTGCGCTCCATGCTACACTGCTACACAGAAAGCAATGTTGCTGTGCAGTTGGGAATGGTCATGGATGTTGTTGGTGTCGTTCACGTCTTGTCTTAAACAACATCAAGGATTCTGCGACTGTCTTGGAGCACCTCGAAACTCGTGCTTGCAATGATAGTCATGAGCAAAATGAGAATCACGGCCAAGGCTGAGGAACCTCCATACAAAGACACTATGTTGAGGAAGTACGGGCAAAGAAGCCTTGCCTCTGGCAAAGCGCTTGCCCAGATCTCCTCCAAGATACACCATGCCAGTCACCGCAACTAAAACCTTGACAAGTTGGCCCATGTGGAGTAATACAATGTAAGCAAGTACCGTGACTAGTTTAGCGTCAAAATAGCACTTGTCACCAGTGGTAAGAGGGACACGGCAAGTGCCGGGAAAGACAGAGTCAGTGGGCCAAGCCTCAATGGGCAAAGTCTGCAGCATTCGGCATGATTGTAATCTTCACTCAGCAACATGCTGCACGATGGATTTTGCAGCCTCAGATTTATGGAATTCAGCAAGCATCATCTGTGTGCAATCATCTGCTCGGCTCCCTCGCTCTCGCGCGCTCTCTCTCTCTCTCTCTCATTCTCTGTATTGTCCGCTGCAAACTTGGCACAAATTCAAAAGCAGCTGACCAATTGAATTGCACCTGCAGACGTGAGCAAGGTCCTGCATTCTTCAATACTCAAAACTGTGAAATGGTGAATTGATTGGATTGATTGCATTGTGTCCTGAATTTCTCCCCCCAATTTGCCGCCACCGCAGAGGCCGAGATCCTGGTTGCGCTTGGCATTGTCAATGAACACAAACGACGTGCCCGGGCATTGGCGTGCATTTTATATTCACATGAGGCCTATTAGGGTCCGTTATATGGTTGCATGCACCCGTTTGCTCGCCGATCATGGCACCAAGCTGCCCATACTCAAGGGTGATAAGTGCAGCCCCGCAAACTGCAAAAACCTGGTGTCGAGAGTGATTCAAACAACGGTATGACTTTGAGAGTACAAGACTGGCCTCCCCCAACAAATGGTAAGCAAAAGCGTAACCAGCACCAGCTGCGGGAATACGTGCAGAAAGTTCCATATAGCTAAGCCTATGAAGTGCCACCCAGAAAAAGCAAACTTCTCTCTTATGAGCAGAGACGCACTCAAATTTAGAATTGCAGAAGCTAGAGCTTCTCTGAGCCCAGCACGCAGAGAGCAAGCATCCGAAACCACCAAAGCACCAACAAAGAACCACGGCAGGACCAGCCTACCCGCGGCAAACAGTCCCGATGTCAAAATGATCCAAGATGGCTGTGCTCATGGACACTGATAAACGGAGTAATACAGTAACACACAGTGCAATGTATATTGTTTGGGGATGTTTGGGGCTCAACCTGTTCTTGCACAAACTTCTTATGGCATGTCCGAGGCACTGAGGCATTTGGTCTCCTTGCGTTCTTCTCACTTTCTTCATGGTATTTGCTTAGCTCACAGAGTTCCAGCTTGCACGACAAAGATTATTCCTTGTCCTACCGTCCCTCTCTCCTCTCTCCTGCTTCTGCTCCCTCCTCCCATGCTTTTCTCTCTTCTCGTTCTGCCTACTTTCTTCTTCCCTTAGCTTCTCTCTGGCTGGATTATGATCTATGGGGAAGAGTCCCTCAACAAAGTCCCTCTGCCCAAGAGAAGTGCATACAGGGTCTAATGAAAAGCATGCTCAAGCAATTAGTACCAAGCGCTTGCAACTTGGCACCTCCTGGTTGGCCACTTCGCCTGTGATGGAGAATACGCCAGTGCCGACAGTGGAGCCGACTCCAATTGCCTACAGCTCTATGTTGAACGACAAATCAAGATGGGCCAAGACAGAAACGACCTGAGCTCAGTCCGCAGCGAGCAAGTCCCAAGTGCTCAGGGATCGGGTCAAAGTTACTCCATGTGCGCTGGCAGCACCCTGCAATTAGGCATGCGTGCTTCGGTCGAGGCTTGACTCAAAATCGTGGTACCAAACAAAACACAACAAACAAGACTCGGACTGTGAATCATTTGAAGTCAGGCCTCCAATAGCTCTTCCCGAGTCTTTCTTGCAACAAGCTGCTGCAGCATTCCATGGAACTCTCATGAAAGCAGTTCCTGTACGTAAGCCAATCAGGATACTTTGTCAATGTCAATGTATGGTAGCGATGCGTCGTGTCTGAGTTGTGCCATGCAGTGTGAGCGCCGTGTGGGCGGCGTGGGTGCGCCAGAGAGTGTGAAAGAGAACGGCGTGTTTTTTTGGTTACTAGCAAGGTGCATTGCTACTAGTAACAAGGGCATTACTACTAGTTGCAAATAGCTACGTTCGTAGCTTCTTGTTTGCCGGGAGTCTGTGTGTAATTGCAACTTGTGGTATCTTCGGCGTCCTCCTGTCTACATGCTTTTCCTCAGCATGTTTGCCTTGGAACTGATTTACAGTACAGGTCTGTGTCGATGTCAACCTCATGCTGGTAAACTGCTGTAGCAGCCATATTTTCCTTCGCCATGCGCTGTACTGCATTGTTGTGTGCAACAAGAGTCATAGTGTTAGTTTGATAGAATACATGGGCATCAAGAACCGCTTGGGCCTTTCGGCAAAGGTGGATCGAAAATGCAGCCCATTCAAGTCAGTTCTTGCATCCGGCGGTACAAAGTTGCAAGGCATTGCAAAGCATTGTTCTCCACTGCAAGTGATCCTTTTTGGCCAAGCGCAAATTCACTGCTGAAGTAAGCACTCTCATTATCAAATGTTTGTCAGCAACCCTTGTGTTTGGAGTTTCTTCTTTCCTTCGCGGAGCTGGTCATACACCTGGAAATTCATGTGTGAGATTGAAGTGCTTTGAAAGTTGCAAGACGAACCTGTCGTGCAGACGGACGTAGACGCGCATCAAAGTTGTAGCACGCTGATATGACAACCTCACTGAAAGCACACAAATAAGTGACGAAGGACGTTAAATATTGCCATGGCCATGCGTGGATTTAGAGTCAAGCATATCTAACTACACAACTCTATTCTTGGCTCCGACTTGCAAAGGCTCTGCAATTGTTGGAGGTATGGATGGTGTCCTTCACAACGCCACTTCAAGAAATTGCCAACATCTCGCAATCTATCCATCACTGATGAAACACATACACATCGACCCGGTTGCACACGCTCCTCCGGTTGACAAGCATTTCACGAGTAAGTTCTGCCAAAGTGTTGATGCCCTCGTACCTTGGTCAACAATCATCAGCTTCGAGTAAATTCCCACCAACAAAAGCAAAGCACGTGCACAGGCGGACGCCACTGATATTGTTTTGTCTGACTTGTGTACATAGTGGGTTCTTCTTGCAGTTCATGGAATTTCCCGGGCTTCAAATTACTGTAAAAGCAGGGAAACCCGCTGCATTCGTTGAAAAAAGTTGTTTCTTTCTCCTTCTCAAGGATTCAAAGTCATCGGGAAGAAGAATCAGCACCGTTCAGCACCTAACCATTTTGGGGAGCTCTAGGCGTTCACATCAGTGAAAGAAAGTTTTCGACTACACAAGTGCCGTTGAAATAGCTGGAAATTGTGGTTGGCAAATAAACGAACACAAAATTTGCATGTGTCAGCTCACAATTGAAAACTCAACCGTTGCTTCATAAGGCACTCGCAGAAAATACCCACAACATGTACATATAGGCCAGAGTGAGCATGCACGCTTGCATGGTCCCAAACAATGCTTTTGACATGGCACAAAGCTGAAAAGAAAAAATGCTTTGAGACACTTGACACGATTTGCTTCGATTTACCAATTGACTTGACGTGGCACGGAAGTGGTCCGCCATTGATTTCCGTGAAGATGCAGCCCATCGACCAAATGTCAACCTGAACTAAAGCACTTTGCGAAAATAGTAGAAACTTTCCCAGTCCTTGCAAGTTCCAAGATGTTCCACGTGCCTTCTCAGTAATCTTCAACTTGCTGTCGAAGAGCTGCGACACAAGCTTAATTTTTTTTCGCGACCAGGTGGATGCAAAATATGTTTTACCCGCCAAAGACTGCAACACGCAATCTCATGAAATACCTTCAGCTGAGCAAGTTTGATTCAACTAGGTGTGGGCACAGACTTAGCAGGAATACAATGGAATACTTGTCACAGGGACAGCAGGAACAGACCACCCCCGCCATAATTACACCATGGCATTCACACACGCGTCCCCAAGCTTGCCAAGCCCAATGCCCCCGCCACAGCGACAAGTTCAAGCGTGCGCGCCCCAACGGTAGCAATATCGAAGAAAGGTGTCTTTGGGTTATCAAATCAAAACCCGAGAAAGCTCTCTCATGTAAAATTGAGCAGAGAAGCAAATAACCTTGGATGAGTACATTGGTGGATGAGGACGATAGGCGACGGCATGCTCACCCTCCCCAGACCTGACAAAATTATACAAAATCCGCAACATGACATGGACTCCACCATCACATGAAATTGTGTAAGGACACTTCTAGCTCAAGTCAGGTGAGAGGGAGGAATCAAATGATTCCAAGGTGAGCTCGAGCACGAGGGAAGGGGCAGGGCTTTCAGGCATGAACGCTCCCTTCTTGCTTAAGCACCTTCTGGTACTCAGCAGCTACGAACCCGAACTGCAAACAAAAGAAACGCATGCTCTAGAGTACAGTAGGGTAGTGTATAGGGCTCACTGTGGTTGACAGGCCAACTTCTGGCCGCAACACAACCGTCCAAGCCTGACTGAGGTATGGGTTTGTTGCGCATGAGCCTAGTTTAGGCTTATATGCTTATAAGAACAGCGACAACACCCTGGCAAGAGCCGGCGCAGGGTCAACTCCTCAAGTAAGTACTACGCCGTGTATACAGTGCTGTAAATATAAATGCAATGATGCAAACAAATGTGTGTCTACAACTGTGACAAAGGCACCACCACTTGTTAACAGGCTGAAAGTCCTTCACCGACGATGCTCTCCACATCTGAACAAGCTGAAACTGGGACCTTGGAAATTGTACGTAGCAGTTTTTCTGCCGCACTTTGGCTGCGCATTCCAAGACTCCCAAGAATTATCTGCAAAAACCACGGAAAACATGTGGTCTTCGACTCAGCAGCTTCTCAAGATATGCGACTGAACCTCACAAACTCAACACGTTAAAGTTAAAGGCCTGCTTGAAGCATTCACTCCATAGTAAGTGCAAAGAACTCACGAGGCTCGAGCTGCTGGCACAGCGTAAAAGGCAACCTCTGCTGCTCTGCCAACACTTATGAGTTCAATGACTTGGGGAGTCATCTTGTTGCTGCCCCTATCAACAAGACTGTCAACTTGAAATAGATGTTTTTGAAGATGCAAATGAAGGATGATGAAAGCTGAAATGCTTGATAGTTGATGAGATGATATCATTGACACTTGCGTAGTTGATACTTAATGTCTGTTTCAGCTGCGAATATTATCAAAGGCTTGAGGCCACAAAAGCAAGAGGTCCCAACAAATGCGCACGCTCTCAACTAAACTTTACGCTCTCAACATCTCTTACGCCTCGTCTGCCAATGCTGCCAATGAAGCATCAAGGGAAAGACCTGGAGCAGTATTGCTGGCTACGAAATCTGAGGCATCTAGCTTTTCCACCAAAACAAACATCGCTGCCCTCACACAAAAAGCTCAGAACAAGCTTGGCTTGTCACAGTCAGGATGATTGACATCAAAAGCAACCTAAAACCAAGGAGACTAATGTAATGCGCACGCAAGGCACATCAAGTTGCAAAATGTTTGCATGGACAATGGAGAGCAATTTGTGTGGGTTGTGTCAATTTCACAATAGAGTTGCGCATTCTGACACGACACACCTCCATTTGAAACATACGATTCTTTGGCGTTGGCTGAAAGTCCGTGCAAAGAAGGCTCTTCTGAGACACATTCAGAAGCCTCAAGATTTAGACAAGGAAATGTGATTGTCTCAGGACGAGACCCCCATCCATCTCTTCTGAATGCTAGCTACAACAGCCGATCGATAAAGGATACCTGGTGGACCGGACGAGGCACAACATGTCAAGTCGAAATGTTTCCTGAACCGTGGAACTAGGACCATGATGGACCATGGTAATTGAGGTAAAGAGTGTGACTTTCTTGTATTCATTCGAGAGGCTCAATTTGCAATAATTACACTTGACACAGCCTCCAAAGCCACGACTTACCATCTCCTTGCAGCGCCTGCGGACAGTACGTATATATATATATATATATTTAGGATCGTTTAGGCAAGCGTGATGCTACAATGGAGAGACCCTAGCGTTTGAAAGCTAAGTTTCAGAATGCCTCAGTATGTGTCAGTCATCTGTGCAGCTCTGGTAGATCTAAGCCCCGATCTCCATCCTGGAAAGTTTGGCATTGGGACCTTCAAAGGCAAAACCAAGCAGTGAGACCTTTTGGAGAAATCAGACTTATTCTTCGAAGCAGTTCACTTCATTTGGCTTCCACGTCCGGCCTATCCGGGCCAAATGGGGTGAAATGCAGCGACCAGCAGGACAACTTGATGATAATGAAAGAACATCCCAATCGCATGGGATCTCCTGCAGAGACGTATGCCATATACATACAAATGCCATGGTATGACAGCCAAGACTTCTTCCGATGCGTCTTTCCCGGGCCAGCCACTCATGCAACGCAAAGACTCTTCTTGAGCACGAGGTCCTCTTGGATAAGAGACCAAACTCGTTGTTGAAAGTCACGGGCGAGCCGAATACCGTCCTTGTAGAAAGCCAAGAATGTTTTGCACCAGCGCATGAAGATTAGGGAAACTCATTTATCGCTCAAGTCCTCCAACACTAGCGCTAGCGGCTTGTGTCCGGCCAAAGCGCTCGCCATGCGTTGAACATGGAAGTGACCTTCGATCACAAACACTCTCTCTTCAAAACCATTGACAATTTGCAAGTTTTTGTAGTTGTCATTAAAGTTGTCTGCAGCTTGGATGTTTTACTCAGCATCTTGCTTGCAGCTCTGCTGGCAGCACCAAGCTGGCGTGCGCAGTACGACATACGACATGCTCGATGTGTGAAGTTGGGTGGAGAGAAATGAATCCAAGCAGCACCTCATCTGCAAAGTTTCGTGGATCAAAGCCATCAGGAACCACCCCCGCTGCAAGGGCCACCTTCCGAAGCACGACCAGAAAAGTGCTAGAGGGTGTGACAAGTATGCAGGGACTTCTCCTTAAAACCAGGCCTTCAAGTCATCCGAAAACAGCAAATCCAAGCCTGCACACAGAACATGACTGTCCACCCAGTGCCAGTTTTTCACTCTGACAGGCAAACCCGAATGCAGAACCAGCTTGCAGAGTCAGAAGCTTTCCCACAAGCACTCCGAGGCCAGATTTGCATATCCTTAAAGTGGCTACCAGTAGGAGCGTCTTCCGGCAAGTAGTAGATGCTTCCACATCACACCTAGCTGTGAACTGTTTGGGCCACCTTTCATTATGTCAGTTCGATTGAGCTTCTATAAGTAGATGGTTGTCTCTGTGAAAAGCGCTACATGTTACATGTTCCTCCACTCAGCTCCCTTCTCAGAACAAGCTGAGGATTTTGAATGAAACAAAAGCATGAAGTTCAACGCATTCACAAACCGCCTGCAACACGAACAGCTTGGAGACCATGACGAGCCAAATCTCAGCACTGCAATCTGACTTGTACTAACGAATGTGTCCCTAATAATCTAGGAACCACATCATAAGTGCAAGCGCTTGTTCTTCAAGGAAGCTCCCCCCCGCAGCCTTTAGGGCGGCGGTGGGAGCTTCCTTGTTCTATCCTGCGTCCAGTTACCAGAAGCTTAAGCTTACTTAAGCTACTAGCGGCACCCCAGGCCTTTGAAAAAAGAACGAAAAGGACCAGTTTGGCTCCAGGAGGCTCCTTGTTCCCCATGGTTCTTTTGTGCAATGACAGCCGTGTCATGCTCGCCTCAAAACATATACTTCGCCTGTCCTTCACATGTCCGCTTGGAGCCCCACCTGAAAATGTCTCGTGCTGCTCGCTGATCCTCGCGTTACAAGTTGAGCGTAAGAATTATATGCAAATCTTGGTGTTTTCGATTGTTTTCGATTGTATGTTACACGTGAATCTGCAAATCAAAGGCTCCGACACTAAGCCTGGCATCTCCAAAACATAAACCTGCCAGGTCGGTCACACTTATAGAATAAGTTTGGATAGGGCAATAACGCTGTCATATCTTGGTGTTCACCTGAGAATACCGTGTGTGTGTACATATATGTATATATTATTTATATTTTTTTTTAATTTAATTATTTATATTTATATGTATTATTTATGAGGGCTTGATCCTTGATTTTTTGACCCGGCAGCGGGATGAAACCTTTGAAACCAGCATTGACTTGCCCACCAATCGTGGGTTGATGTAGAAGCTTGAATGCTTTTGAAACAAGGAAGAAGGAAACCGTTTGCACAATGCAATTAGGAGGAAGCTCAGGGTGTTCAAGTCCAATTTCCATTAGCTGCCTGGTCGTTGAACCTGTCAAACGGGTTAGCTCCAGAAGTTATCTGACAATTATGCGATGTTATTGCTAACCAATAGACATGACCTGCCAAAGAACAACAAGGTCATTCAAGGCCGTCAAGTAGGACGAAAAGGGGCTTTGGACTCCTGTCATAGACCATACTAGGACGCTCAGCTGATGTGGCCCAGGGAGCCGCTAGGCAAAGAATCCACTTCACAACCGCAGGACGACAGGCTGTCGACAGTGTCGTGACAGGTTGAAAGTGTTTCAAGGTGTTAGATACTAAATACTAAATGATATAATTCAAGTGTTCCCAATAAATCTAGGAAAGGTACTAGGCTATAGTATAGCCTAGTACCTTTCCTATACTAGCTACTTCAGCATACTTACTAGATACCGCCACCCCCCCAAAAGAACAAACACTTCGCACCTGAACGTTTCTCTCGAACCAAGATTGAGATCGCTCCCACTCATCGGACGTCCAGGATCTTGACCCTTCAGACCTTGAAGCAAACTGAGTCAGTTTTGTACAGTTTCGTTTTGCTGTCTCTGAGAAGAGAAAACAAGGTAAACAGAAATTGAATGATGAAGAATATCTAGACTAGACTAAAATAAATGCAAAGACTTGAAATAGGAAGCTGTTTGCATCTCTAAAGAGGCCTTAGTGAAGGTTTAAAGAGGTCCTTACCTGCCTTTTGTCCTTAGTTTCGGATATATACCTGTACATATATATATATAAATCTTGGAGACTGGCCCTCCGCCACAAAGACTTACCTGGCATCTTTGGGGTACCACTCTCTGATGGATCATGGGCAAAAGTGCCGGAGGGTCATCATCCAGAGGGTATCGAGCTTTCACGGCTGTTATGCCAAGCCTTGCCAGACTTCAAGGCTTTCATGGCGTGTTAGCCTCTTGCAGTCTGCTTTCTTCATGTCAACAACCAAGTCAAGGGCTTGTGAAGCGCAGCTTTGTGCGCTTTTTGCCATGATGCGCCGCCTGAATGCAGAATATGAGACAGGGAATGGTGCTTTGGCTTGCCGTGGCTGGGGTCATTGCATTTGCTGGTGTTCGAACAAGAAGACACCAGAATGTCCCAGCAATCAGAGCGCTCAGGCCTGGGTTTCACTCGCATCTCTCCACAGTGTTAATGGAACAACAACTTAAACTCTGCCTGAAATAATGTCGATTTCGGCACGAAACTAGCTGATGACTGCTGATGACTGGCCGACGCAGCCAACGCTTTCACTACCAGTACCTTCGCCAGTAGGAAAGCTGGAAAACCACTTTCACTTGGGAGAATGCAATTGTAATGTTGAGTTACAAAGTTTCGCCACCTCACTAGCTTCCCATTTAGTGGTTGCTCACCTCTTGATCATGACTAGTTCACCACATATCACATATATGACATACGTATCCCATTCGCAACTAGCGGCTAGCTCAACAGGTCAACTCAGCAAGTGCTCAAACCATACAAAAAACTTCATCCCGAGTGAGCTCAACATTGGTAGTCTAGCTACCACAACACTCAGCTCAGTTGAAATTTAGATAAGTAGTTGACCGCTGGGCTAGCCTGATATCACTATACAGTGGCCATTGATCTGCACCTATTTAGCCAATGTTTATGTGCTCCTGAAACATTGGGGTGATACTATATAAGGGGCTTATTATAGACCCCAACAAGTTTCCAAAGACGGTTGCCCACAGGCATTCTGGAACTATTGTTGAAAGGCATGGATTTGTTCAAAACCAGATGGAATCCGCGAACTATCAATTCCATTGAGCTATTTCAGATTTACGGGTGGATATAGGTTTGGACCGTGGAGGGAGAGGGTTCAAAAACCACAAAATGGCAGCTTGCAGTGCTTGTAGCCTTCTTTTCAGCCATTGAATGGTCTGATGCTGCATTGCCGGAGGTTTCAGACACTTTTGTGAGACTGCCACAACCAAAAACAGTGGAGTTCGGATTTGACATGAACACGCGCAAGTAAAGTCTGTCCCTCCAGGTTGAACATGTGAGAAGTAGGCCCCGGCTTAGGCCTTTCTAGTCTAGAGCTTTCTTCATTCTTCTCGGCTTGAAGCGTATCGGTTGACTTGTCCAACTGGGCAAGGGCCTTTCTCAAGCTTTGCTCCTGTGATTGCATGATCTTGTCATATTCTCCTGGTCTTGGCGGCGTTTGGGCTGAGGCTGGAAATCGCAGACCCTTTGTCAAAACCAGCAGCCACTGTGTTGTTGGGCAACTCAATGTCTGGTCCAATAGCAAAGAACCTCTTCAGTCGCTTGGTCACCACCGCTATCAGCCGTTGTTGATCATTGAGGAGGTGAGGCTGAGGTGAGGCGGCTCTAGTTTCTAGACAAGACACATACATTAATACATATATGATATATATGCCATGACTGTCATGACTATCATTGAAAGCAGAAATAGTCAGGACGAGGAGCTCCGAGCAATCAGAAAAAGCCATTGCCCTTTCAATGCTCAATGACACAGACATGTTGAGCTCCCTGACTTTGTCTGCCCAACGGTTCCTCGCCACAATTGCCTTACGCTTCAGCTCAAGCTTCTCTAGCTCTACATCCCCCTTCGATGAACTTTTGGGCTCCTCTGGTAGCGGCACGGGGCGGGGCCGGGGGGATCTTGATCTATCACTAGGCTTCGGCTTCGCCCGCTTCTCTTCTGCGTCTTTTTTTTCTTTTCTTTTTTTCCTTTTATCTGGCGCACTACTCTGCGCAAGCAACGGCCTTCCATCCATGAAGGTGGCACCTGGGCAACCCGATGGCAACCCTGACCAAAAAAAAGTTTTGGATGATATTTGGATGTCGGTTTCAGTGAGATCAATTGTTCAAAGAGACTCGCCGGACTCAATCTGAGGGGCAAGCTTTGCAATTCTCCAGCACCAGCTTGCACATCAAACCGTGACGCCAGCATTCCTAAAATGGACAATGGACTCAACCCACGGACATGAGTTACACTAAACGATAAAGTCACTGTCAAGTAGTCAAGGAGGTATCCAGCATTGTATAGCATTATGCAGCCTTCACGAACTCTGCGCAAATCGTCTTCGTTTTCCAACATGTGTTGTTGGTCTTCCTTCATCGCCCTTACCTGGGTTACTTATGTTGTCCAAGTGGAAAATCTCAATTGGTAATTGCAGGGAGACAAAACAAAGCGCTGTGTTGGTCTCGGTATCAGAAAACATCTGACAAGTTACGGTTCCAACTTGACAGCCAGAAGACTTGATCCGCCGATTCAATACGGCCAAACAAAGGTTTCCAAAACTGTCTGGCAACTGTCGGATCACGCTGAGCCCGGTCCCAGTGCTCTTGAGCATCAGCATCGCTTCAATTGTACCATTTGCGACCACGCTTTTTGAATCTGAACAAATCAAATCTAATAATGTTCAACAAAACAAATAACACACAAATGACCAATGACCAATCTCAAGAAATACATTGCAAATCACACTTGACACTGACACGGCATGCGTGTTTGCGTATTTAGTAACTAGGCACCATTAAGAGAAGAAACGTTGCGTAGACCCGTGACCCTACCTGATTTCGTTCAAGTACTCCTGGTCATCTTTGGTGTCCTTGTAGTCATTGACTTGGACCTTGTGCGTGGTACTAGTGCAGCGCTAAAAAAAACTGAGATGGGAGAGAGAGTGGGAAGCTGAGAGAAGGACTGCTGCGCATGTCACCAATTCCCGTTTCTTGCCACGGCAAGGATTGGAACGCTTGTTGCGTATGATATACTGCCTCTTTTCTTCTGCATTAAGTGTATTCCATCCCGGAACATTGTCACGACAGAATCGGTAGCTGCTGTGGCAACATTTGCATTTGCAGTTAGATCCATACCGATGCGCGTCTTCGGCGGCAACATACTCTTTGCGGTCCATGCACCTTAATCCAGCGAGACAAGACATTTAGTAAGTGTAGAAGGACAACAAGAACATGCACACCACGGTCACCACGCCACGCTACATATATAATATATTAAAATATACTGTATGTATTCAAAAGTTGGACAAAGAGCTGTACTTTCAAGTTGGCTGCTCCTTCATTTGGCGCGTCCACCATGGTCACGGCAAACAGACTGCAGCTCAAAGCCAGACGATCTGTAGATTTGACTTGAACTTGAACCCACACCCTATAAAACAAGCAGTCACAGTCACAGAATATGAACGATGTGAAGATCCAAGACTGGCCACAATGAACAAACCCAATGCACTGCCAAGTGCACAACATAAGACTGTTGCAAATAAGGCATTCGATGTGAGCGAACGGCAAGCAGCACCATTTTCCCCAGGTGTGTCAACTCTCAAGATCAGGCGACTCTGAACTCTTAGGTTTTGTTGGCTTTCGGCTTCAATCTTGATGTCAGCACACTAAAAGCCATCAAACCAATGCACGCACTATGCACGCTGTTCCCTGCGATTCGGCATTGAAGTCGGTGGAAGCATTCCTTGACCGCTACACATGGACACCGCATAAGTTCAGCGGTTTGTCGTGCACACGGAATGCCATGCAAGAGCAACAATTCATAGCCGCAAGTGAACCGCTTGTTGGGTTCAATCCAAACTCTGCTACATCCTGTCGTCATGGCCGGCCAAGTATGTTGGCCCCATCGTGCACGACTTTCAGGGTTTGGGTACAAATCTGCAACGTTGAAGGATGGGCACAATTCTCTGTATTGATCCAAACCTCATGAAGAGGCAGGTAGTAGAAGTCTGAAGTCCGTCTGAGGTCGTATGAAACTGATGTTTTCAGTTTTGCGCTTAACACCAACACTCAGGCTCAGGCGTTTCTGCAACGAGTCTGTACAGTGGTGTACCACGGGCAATTGCAGCAGCAGATCATTCCAAGATGATGAGCACGATTGATCCCCATAGTGCTTACTCAGTGCATTTACAGTGTCATCCAGGGGGTATGCTAAAGAAATGCCTTTCTTGAGTAAACTTGCGTGGTCTGGAAATGGGAACATCTGCAACTTCCCGCGGATCAAGGCGTTGAACGCCACCAACTCTGTACGCGCTGCCTAGTCTCAAGCAGCCAAACACATCTTAGAAGATAGAACAACACATGTTTTGTCACTCATCCAAAACATTTCGTTGCGAGATACTCAGGTTGTCGATCATAAGTTTCTCCGGAAAGTTGAGGACGTTCTCATGGATGATGGCGTGTGGTTTTGCTGATAGGCATTGTTTGCACCTGGGAAAGAAATATTGGTCAATCCTTTCCGGAATGTTTAGTGTTACTGCTGATCCAAAACTTGGAGCACAACTTCTAGACACATGCAAGGCGCGCTGTTAGAAACACTTTCATGGTTCTGCCCTCCAAGCCCAGCTTGTCACCAACACCGGACCAATCCTGAGCAGCAGCTGAACTCAACCATGGGAGCTGAGCAAACTCCAAGAAAACTGCATTCAGCCAAAGTCTCAATGCAAGGGGAACCGAGCAACATCACTTTGAGTGTGTCCTTGTTACTACAAGTCCCGGGTGGACGGCGGAGACAATCTTTTTGATGGCGATAGCAACTCAGCCAACGACAGCTAGCTTAGTATAGCTCTATTTGCAAGAATATTGTATACATTACAAACACAAGCCGTATACCGAGCAACTGAGTGTAAGCCTTCAAAATGACCTTGTCATCCATGATGATTGCCTGTAACTCATCATAAGTCTTCCTGATTGTTGTCAAGAGCCTTCCTAACCGCGTTTCACAACGACTTATGCAACAGGTCCGCCAATTTGTTTGTTGATTTCAATGACCCTGTCGTTATGGGTGTGTCCAGGGACTTGTCAATTGCACATTAAGAATGTCAACTTGGTGTCGGGAAATGTTCATGTGGTGTTTTGTTTGTCAATATGTCAAAGGATCTATTAGGTTTGTCAATGAGTATGTCAATACGGTGTGGTGTTTGTCAGGGATTCAGTTTGTCAATGAGTATGTCAATATCGTATGCAGTTTGTCAATATTGACAAAACTTAAAAGGTGAATTGACGAACTCATTGACATACGGACATTCTATTGACATACTGACATTCACTGATGACGAACTGACATAGTTGTTGACAAAATGACATTCTCCGATGACGAACTGACATATTTGTTGACAA